CTGACAAAATTACAAACGAAATAAGAAATGATTGTGACATTCTTACAAAAGGTTTTTACGCAAGAAACCTAACTGTTCAAAGTTGTAGAGAAAACCTCACTTACAAACGCGATAATTACATTCATTTAACTTCTGCTAATTGTGAATTTTTAACACCAATTGATAAATTATTAATAGATCTAGGAATCATAGATCCTGAAGAAATAAAATTACAAAATCCAAAATTAGGACAAATTTTAATAACACCACGCGGGAGTTCAAAAATATTCACTCTTATGATAAAGAATAAACACAGTGACGATTTAAAATTAGATAATTTACAAACCACCTTTAAAAATTTACAAACAGTTATAATGAATGAAAACATCAAAACTTCACGTCTTTCTTTACTTGGAAATTATTTAGAAAGTTTAAAACCAAATGAATTAACAGAAATTCTAACAGAAATATTCTATGAAGATATGATTACAATAACTTTATGTTACGGAAAAGCATCTGTCCCTCCAATCGAAATCAGATCAAAAATAATTTCTGAAATGCACAAAAGCCTAATAGGTGGTCATAAAGGAATGACTAAAACTTACAGAAGAATAAGAGAACGATTTGTTTGGACAGGTATGAAAAATGATGTTATGGAATACATTAGACACTGTAAACCGTGTCAAGAACAACAAATAGTCAGATCTAGAATACGAGAACCTATGCTGATCACAGACACCCCAATTGACACTTTCGACAAGGTTTCTCTTGATACTGTGGGAAAATTACCAACCACCCCAGATGGAAATAGTTACATACTAACAATACAAGATAATTTATCGAAATATTGTATCGCTGTGCCACTCCCTGACATTAAAACGAATACTATAGCACACGCTATGGCTAGAAATTTATTTGCCCAATTCGGTGCCCCACGAGCAATATTAACCGATAAAGGAGGAAGCTTTGTCAGCAAATTAATGAACCATCTCTGTCGCATTTTTGGAGTAAAACAGTTGACTACATCAGGTTACCGACCACAATCAAATGGATCACTGGAACGAAGTCACACAGTCCTCGTAGAATTTATAAGACATTACTCTAATCATTACGATGACTGGGACCGTCTTATTCCTTTTGCAATGTTTTCCTATAATACGTCAGTACATGAAGGTACAAATTTTACTCCTTATGAATTAATTTTTGGAAAGGTTGCAAGAGCACCAACTGCCTTCCCTCCAGACGAAAAACTAGTAACATACGGAACCTATCTTCGAGAATTAATTACACGTCTTAACGAAATAAAATTAATAGCTGCTAAAAATTTAATTCAAGCAAAAGGACGTTCTAAAATAAAATACGACAAATATTGTAACGAGTTTCAAGGTAAAATTGGAGATTCAGCTTACATTTTAAAAGAACCTAGAACTCATAAATTCGAAAAAAGATACCATGGACCCTATAAAATAATTGATATAACTGATAAAAATAATGTCATTCTTGAAGGAGAAGAAGGGCAACGTTTTCAAAAACACATGGACAAAATAAAAATTGCTCACGACTGAAACTAAATACAAGACAGTAAAATTAATCATCAATAAACAATAAATTAATGAATCTAACATCTAAAAGGAAACTCTAAAATTTTTCATCTCAAGTATTGCTATCTTATAGACAGCACTAACCGCACTAACAAATTAATAATAATAATTGCCCCCATTTTAATTTTGTGATTCCTTATTTTCAGCAATTATGAACGAACAAGATCCCGATCTTGTATTGGATCCCGAAAAAACCAAAATATTCGAAAGTTTACAACTTGAACAACTGAATACAGAAGAAATAAAATTTTCAATCCAGATAATCAAAAATTACATCTATCTACTAGAAAGTGCTGATTTCAGAACACTTATGGAGCACAGAATAAGTACAAAAAATGAGAAAATATTTAAAAGATCCTATAAAAAGATTACAGAATACACTGCTCTGCAACAAGCAAACATATTTGATCAAGTGAATACCCTTCTCTCAATGAAAGTAATTACACCATCCGATTCAAAGTTTAATAACGAAGTAATCTTGTCTCGACAAATAATATCCGATTTCAACGAACCACAATGGCGAATAAGCATACCCTTTATGACTTTAAATCGAAAAATTATTTCTGACATACCAAATTTTCAAAAGCTTCCAACAATTAAAGGAATGTTGAACACCAACACATACTTTTCTATTTTAGAAATGGAAGAATTATATGGTTACATAAGTATTAATAAAGAAGACGCGTCAAAAACTGCATTTACTACTCCAGTCGGAAAATACCAGTTTAATTCTCTTTCTCCATCAATAAAAGGTTCTCAAGTAACATTTTTAAATTTGCTACGGCGAATATTTCCAAAATGGAAAGAAGACAATATCATTTTCCTCCCCTTAGGAATAATAATAGCTAGTCCAACTTTCGACGAACACAGAAGAGTACTAACCAATGTTTTCCTTGCATTATTGTACCAAATCATCCCAATTGATCCTAATAAAATTAAACTATTCCAATCAGTTGCTAATTGCGTTGAATTTTTAAATCATGCTATGTCGATTCAAATTTCGATCGAAAAACCATCAAAATATGTAGGAAAACTACTTCTACAAATAAAATTACAAGAAAACGAATTCGAAACCTGTCTCTATGAATATCACGCTCACCATCTCGTTCCTATTACAAGTTCCTCTAGAATATACACTGGACCAGAAATTTTGTATGATTATCATGAAAAAAGAAGCCTTGCAATCATACATAGTGCAAGAAGATATAAATATCTTATAAATAACAATCCTATATTTTTCTTTGATAAAAATAATAACTCACAGTGGTTAGAAACTATATCAAAGGGATTTACACGTATACAATGGCTACTGAATTTGGAAAATATGAACTGGAACTATGTAAACTCTAACGAAGAAAAACTTCTGTTTAACGAAAACTAACCTCAAATCTCTCAAAGAACACTAACCTCTAAATAACTTTTTTATCCCACATGCACAAAAACGGCGCTTTCTGATAGCAGCCGACAGGGAGGAAAGTCATTCATTTCTTCGACCGTATGAAAATGGCGGCCGTGTTCTCCCAAGGGCAAGAAAATTAGCTGTTCACATGCATTTTTCTTGCCCAAGGGAGAAATCGGCCGCCATTTTCATACAAATCGAACAAGTGAATGACTTTTACTCCCTGTCGTCTGCTATCTGAAATCGCCGCTTTTGTGCATTAGGAATAAAAAATATCGTAAGTAACACGAGAATAAAGGCAGCCAATTTCTTTACAATGATTTTTGTGACACTCGTTCCGGTCTCGGGGCGCCTACGGCGCCCTCGACCTCCACTCGTGTCACAAAAATCACCGTAAAGAAATGGCTGCCTTTCTCCTCTTGTTGCTTAATATACTATATAACAAATAAATATCTTTAAATTCCAGATAACCATGGAACAAAATCACCCTCCATTGACAGAGGAATATATAAAAATATTTGATGATTTTGAAACAGAAAGAATGAGTTCAGAGGAAGCTGAATTTGTAACAAAATTAATAACATCTTACTATCAATTGTTTGGTCACTACTCGTTTGAGCTCTTTTCACATATACAACACCAGATCTTCACCAAAACTGATATACCAATTATCACTACAATCAATTCACCAGATTCATATACAATTGAACAAAAACAAGACTTGTTTTCACAGTTGTGTTATTTATCACTAGCAGAAATAATCACACCATCGAACTCTACCTACGCAAATAAAATCAACGTAAATTTCGTATGGACATCACATGTAAGAAGATTTACTTGGAAGTTTTCTACAGACTACACACGACTTAACAAAAGGATAATAGTACCAAACTATCCTAACAAGGATCCTGAACAAATTCGACACAAAATAAATGAAAATACTGAAATATCAATCTTCGACTTAACAGATCTTTACTCAAGAATCGAAATCCACCCTAATGACACACATAAAACGTCAATTGTCACACCAATCGGAAGCTTTGAATTCAAAAGATTGATTCCAACGTTAAAAGGATCCGAAATAACCTTTTATAAATTTTTTGATATTATTTTCGAAAATGATTTAAGACAAGACATAACACTGTATCCAAAGGGTATAATTGTGACAAGTAAAAATAAGAAGGAACATATTGAGACCATATCAACAATATTTTTAAAATTCGCTCTAAATGGAATTTCAATTCAAGCATCAAATTGTAAACTCTTTTTGGACAAAATCGACGCACATGATTACATGGATTCCCAAATTGAACCCGACAACACAGTACCAATACCAAATCCTTCTTATAACGGGCAACTAATGTTATATTTTCGAATTTTCGAAAATTATTTCAAAGTCATTCTTATCGAATACTCTGACCGCCGAATTAATGTAATTAAACAGTCAAAACGTAAATTCCAACCTTCGGAAACATTATACAACGAAGAAGGAAAAATCTGTCTAGCATTAGTTCATGCAAGAAGAAGATTCAATCAATTTATTGGAGACAACGATATACTGCTTCCACATGGACGAAATGCATTAAATTGGCTAGGTGAAATTGAACCTACAAATACAAGAATTAACCATTGGAGATATGAATTGCAGACCTCAGAATGGATCATATGCCAAAATAATTAAAGAAATGAATAAATAAATAAAAGGAATACAGGACAACAATAATAAATTGAATTATACCAAAAACTAACTATATTTCCCTAAAACTATACAGTATCTCAAAAATAAGCAAAAAAAAAAATATATATATATATATGAATAAAAAAAAACAACATAAAAGTAATATAAGAGGAGTATTACACAAAAAAAAATGTATATATGTATATGCATATGCATGTTTATATAATTAAAATATCCCTAACACATAAAATTAATAAAACCCTATATTACGAACACCTTAATAAACTATTCATACAATAGAACCTACTCAAAAAAAAAGAGAGAAAAGAAAATATATATATATATATATAATAAGCCACTTAGGTACGTCGTCTCCTTAAATTTTGCCTCCTTTTGTAACACGATACGTTCTTGCAAGTGTTACAATACTTTGGACTCCACAAAAGAAGATTGTCCACACGAGACCGCTAAAAGAAAAATAGAAAATTTATATATATATATATATAGTTAACCAAATATCTTTATGCATAAAACAAAAAAAAAGGAGAGGACTTACTAGTGCCCAAGTTACTTTAATGTTCGGTCCATCCTCCGTGAACGTGAAACGTTCCACCCTGATCAAAACCAATGTTTTAACAATGGGCTGCCACTCCAACCCTTCCATACCCTTGGTCAACTGAGAAATCCTGCACACAGAAGATTCAACTCCTGGCTTCTCTACCATTCTCTGACCCTTCTTCACAAAGAATTCGGATGGATGGCGCACGTCAACCTAAACGTAATAAATAATTAATAAAATATACAAAATTACACACATCACTATGAACAAACATATAACATACCGGCATCCAGTAACCCCGCCAATAAACAGGGCCATCAGCCCGCAATTTTATATACTCTTGACACCAACGAAGAGGCCCATCCGACAACTCAGGGCGACTCTCCCACGGTATTCCTGATGAACGTTGTTGTTCCCCAGGATGAGTGTACCCAAATTCGCACCAGGGTCCAACTTCATAAATAGTGCTAAAATAAAATAAAAACAATAAACATTGTGCAATTTTCTCTGTTATTCTTACAATATACACAATCGCTTAAAAAAAATAAATAAATAAATAAATAAATACTTCAAATAATTTCAAAAAAAAAAAACATTCAATTAAACCTTTAAAATAATTAATTCTACAAAATTGTTAGTAATAAGTGTGTAAAGTGCGAATTTTTGAAGAACTTTAACTGAAGTTCATATTTTAATGAATTTTATTGGATGATCCAATTATTTGAATGCAGGAGTGAATAATTTCTTAAAAATTGAGCCTGATAAAGAGTTCTAACAAAACACAGTTAAATTCATTTTTGAAGGCACAAATATGAAATTTAATACAAAGTTAGCAATTTAATTAGCATCTATTTTATCTATTAATACTAGAAAAAACTACACGCGCGCGTTTTTTTTTTTCTAGCTGTCACCTGTAACAATTTCAAAAGATAACATTTTTGTGATTTTTCATAAATTTTTCGAAAGATTTTTATTGAAATTTTGTAGGGATAATTGAGATTCTTTTAAGGAATGATAATAATAATAAATTAAATACCTTGTTTAGCGGGCGTGACATTTACTACCTATTTACATTATTCAAAAAAAAAAAAAATAAATAAATAAAAAAATAAAATAAATAAATGAATAATAAATTATTATTCAAAAATAAATATTCAAAAATAAAACAATAATTTTTCTCGATAGTTTGTTAAGAAAGGAAACAAGAAACCCAGCACTCGCTTTTGCGTGTCTGATAGCTTTTGAAATAAGTGAGAGTATTGTTTGGAGTTGGAAGTAATTCGAATTTTTGTCTAAAAATCTAAAAAGAGTCAAGGAAATACAGAGTAAAGTTTTTGTGGCGGCCCTATGTGTGTATGTGTATATTGTCTGCCACGGGACGCATGCAACATTGTCTCCTTCGACCCCTCTCATTCCTTCTCTCTCTAACACACGGCACTCTCCCCATTCTGCCTTCTCTCTGTTCACTCTCATGCGTTCTCTCTCTAACCTACGGTATTCACATCATCCTCTTCTCTCCCAGTTCACTTTCATGCCAATTTTTTTTTGACAAGATTAACGATGAAAATAAATTAATGATGATGGAGTTTGAAAATTTATAATTTAAACTTTTGTTGAAAACAAAAAAAAATATATATATATATATGTCGTAGGCAGATAGCAGAATCCGGCAGTATGCAAACTACCTAGGCAGTTTGTAAACCGCGGGCAGTTAGTAAAATACCTAAATTTGAATGTATGAAAACAGGCAATATGCAAAATGCCTAGGCAGTTTACATACTGCCAAAGACGTTTCAGGCAAATAGAAGAATGTATTGAAAGTCGCAAATTTTTTTAATTAGAATAACTTATTCTAAAGGAAATACAACTTTTATCCTGTTATTACTTGTTGCAACAATTTATAGATTTGTGACATCTTGATCCGCATTTAACACTGTCTAACCGTGCCCTATCCCACATTGCTCTTGCTCCACTTTGCTGTTTAAAAGCTAATATTAATTTCTCTTGAAATTGCATCTCGTTCACTGCACTTTCTTCCATTTTCAAAAATGGTTAATAAGAATAAACGTAATTGAGAAATTATAGATAGACAATCTGAAGTCTAAGAACGATAATTGCAAACTAAAGTATAATTAGGGCCCAAATAATTCAGTAATATATAAATGTAAGAAACAATAGTATTATTTTCAATAAATTCTATCAATATTATGTTAGTTTATTTTGTACATGCTATATTAATAAATCTTAATCAATTACAATTTTCGGTTACTGTCAATAATATTTTCATATTTTAAATATTGAGTATTGCGACTTTCAATACATTCTTCTATTTGCCTGAAACGTCTTTGGCAGTATGTAAACTGCCTAGGCATTTTGCATATTGCCTGTTTTCATACATTCAAATTTAGGTATTTTACTAACTGCCCGCGGTTTACAAACTGCCTAGGTAGTTTGCATACTGCCGGATTCTGCTATCTGCCTACGACATATATATATAAATCCAATCTTAGAAAAATTACAAATAATTGTATATACTCAATTATATTCAAAAGTGATAAAATTCTTCAAAAAAATAAATAAATAAATAATTATTTACAAAAAAAAAAAATTAAAATCTCTCAAATTTAAAAGAATTTTTATCCAAATCAAAATTATATAAATAAATAACAAAATTTTTCCCCAAAGTTTAATTATATTGCAACCAATCTTTAAATAATACACAAACATTTCATTGTTTCCGTAAATAATGGAATTTACAAGAATTTAATCGTTTTCAAAAGGAAATAATTGAAAATTGTAGAAGGTGGTAATTGATTTGAAATGAGGAATATGGTTTAGAAGGAAATACTATAATAATATTCTTATAATATACAACAACGATTTTACCACTCAGTCATCTTTAATTATTAAAAAAAAAAAAAAAAAAAAAAAACATGAAGAGGTCGATCACTCTAAGTTTTCGACTCAGAGCAGTCGCTATCTTATGTTTTTTTTGAATTTGAATTTAAAAGATATAAATTTGAAATTTTCGAAACTCTTAATTCCTGCAAGAAAGAAATAATATTGGTTATATATTAGTTTAAACAGCTATTAATGTTTTCGAATAAGTTTTACAAAAATATTTAAATATAACAGAATGTTTTAAGTAAAATTTTTCCCTTCATTTTCCAAATACTTAAAAGTTTTAATTTCATTTTCAATTGAAATTGTAATTGACAAAAAGAATAGAATATGTAGTGTTTCTTTCCTAAATAAGAATAATAAATTTCTGAACAATATTATTATTGATTTATAATAAATCAAACAAAACATACCTACATTACCTACAAAAAAAAGCATACACAGAACTAACTCTAGAGTATAGCCAGAGTGGAGAAAGAATGAGATGATTATTGTAATTGCCTTTCTGATTAATTTTTCTTTCATTTTTTTTTACAATTAACAAAACACAACTCGCTCTCTCTCTAATAACATCCACTCACTTTTCTTATGTACTACATCACAAATAACACACAAATAAAACCTCCCTCACAAACATAAAACCAACACAATTACATCACGGTTGTCTTCAAGCACTTTTAGGTTTACCTAAAATGAGTCAAAATTGTGCTAACGCAGTTTTATCTGGAATCGGCCCAAGATTCCAAATTTTCATTTCCGAAAATCGTAGCTGATTCTTTTTTCGAAAAAAACCAAAAAAACATATATATATATGGGCAATTCCACGTGAGCTTTTAGTCGACCTCTTAAAATCGGCCAAAAATATTTTTTTTCTATTCTGTATCGAAGAAAAACAGATACGTATTTTTTTATTTTTGTTTAATTGTCCAAATTCTCGAGTTATGAATTTTCGAAATTTTGGACTTGTAATTGTAGACCTATATTTAGTAGCTTATAAGTCCGAAAATATTGAGTTTAGGAAAAATTTGTCACAGAATGAAAGTTTTAGTTTTCTTTCGACTTTTAAGAAATGTAAACAAAAAATTTTTTTTAAATTTTTTATTAAAAAATTTTTTTTTTTTTTGTAAACAAATTAATTTTTTTTTATAAACAAATTAATTTTTTTTAACTTTAGCCCGGATTTTTTTTATTTTTTTTAAATTTATTTATTCCTTATAATATAGAGGAAGATTTTCCAAAAAATCCCGAGAGGTGGGACTGATGTGTTGAATGAGTTTTAAAACATTTTCAAAAATTACTTGCAATCATCACAGTGGGATTTTCTTACAATTAACTTCTAAAATTGTCTATACAGCGTAGATCCTTTAATTTAAAAAAAGAACTCTCAAATAGATTAAAATTATACACTGTAGACAATTTTAGAAGTTAATTGTAAAAAAAATCCCACTGTGGTGCTTGCAAGTGATTTTTGAAAATGTTTTAAAACTCATTCAACACATCAGTCCCACCTCGGGACTTTTTGAAAAATCTTCTATATATTATAAGGAATAAATAAATTTTAAAAAAATAAAAAAAATCCGGGCTAAAGTTAAAAAAAATTAATTTGTTTATAAAAAAAAATTTTTTTTAATAAAAAATTTAAAAAAATTAACAAAAAATTTTTTTGTTTACATTTCTTAAAAGTCGAAAGAAAACTAAAAGTTTCATTATCTGACAACTTTTTCCTAAACTGAATAATTTCGGACTTATAAGCTACTAAATATAGGTCTACAATTACAAGTCCAAAATTTCGAAAATTCATAACTCGATAATTTGGACAATTAAACAAAAATAAAAAAATACGTATCTGTTTTTTTCGATACAGAATAGAAAAAAAATATTTTTGGTCGATTTCAAGACGTCGACTAAAATCTCACGTGGAATTGCCCATATATATATGTTTTTTTGGTTTTTTTCGAAAAAAGAATCAGCTACGATTTTCGGAAATAAAAATTTGGAATCTTGAGCCGATTCCCGATAAAACTGCGTTAGCACAATTTTGACTCATTTTAGGTAAACCTAAAAGTGCTTGAAGACCACCGTGACATACAAACATAAAGGCATGAAAAATGCTTTTACTCACCCAGATAAATTTAATTCCGCAGTCTTCACCTGATACATACTGCTAATCATCCGGCTAATCCCAAAATATATATATTGCAAATGGTTTTCCATTTCTTCAACCACTTCCTCTGAAAGATTAGGAAAAAGGAGCGGAACTCTTCCTATTTCCCTATTGTATTCCTTCACCAGATTGATGAACTGCGGATATCTGCTGTACATAACAGCAGAAAAATACCTTAACCCACGAAGATGACTCTCCGTGAACAAACCATTGTTCACAAACACAAACAAATCTTCCACCTTTAAACTCATTTTTCAAAAAAAAAAAATGATGATGTATAACTCAACAAACCACAATAACAGCAACAAAATATATAAAGACTTTAAAATTAAAAGAAAATACTTTTATCCTTCTCTCAATTCATAAACGTCTAACTCAAATAAAAATCAGAAGAATACTGATGAATATCAGCATTCACAAATGCCATGCCTTGGATGACCATATCACATGAAACCAAAGCACTCCAAATCGTCTCCAAATAACATAAACATCACGTCGCCATAATGTTAAGAGATGCTTAACAGCAGACAATATTAGGCGACTCAGTCCATTCGAAGAAAATTCACTCTCTTCTCTTTATGTAACAAATTTTATTTAACAAATAATTACTTTTAAACCTTATAAAATTAATTAAATTATTAATTAAATCAGACTAAAAATT